TCCGCTTGCTCCGCCGCTCCGCCGTGCACCAGGCCATCTCGCTCATCGGCTACCTGGAGGTGCCTGATGCCAAGGCGGACGCGCTGCGCCGGCTGCGCGACCTGCTTCGTCGCTCCGTCTTCAACTTGTGGACGTGCACCGTCGGCGGGCTGCGCACGACGTCGGTCCTGCTCGGCTGGCTCACGCCACCGCCCGGCAGTGCCGAGGTGCTCGACGAGGTGCTCGCGCTGCTGGCGACGCTCGGCTCCCACGCCGCCACCTCGGACGAGGTCTGCACCCTCCTCGGCCTCGCGCGCCAGTCGATCGAGCGAGGCGGCGCGGCGGCGCTGCCCCGGCCTCAGCAGCTCCTCGACTTGCTGGTGGCGTGGTGCGGCGGCGGCGGCGGCGAGGGCGAGGGTGGCGGCGCGGGCGGCGGCGGCGGCGGCGGCGGCGGCGAGGGCGGCGGCGGCGGCGGCGGCGGTGGCGGCAGCGGCGGCGGCGGCGGCGGTGGCGGCGGCGGCGGCGGCAACGGCGAGGCAGCCCCGCCCGTCGCGCCTCGCCAAGTCTTTGACCTGGACGGGTGGGGGTCCGGGCTCGCTCTGCCAGCCGAGCTGACCGCCTCCCTCCTTGCGCAAGACTTTGCCTTTGGCTGCTGGCTGCGCGTCGAGGTGGGCGCTGCGGATGACTGCGTGCTCTTTGCGCTGCACCGCGGTGCGCGCCCGCCGGCCGGCGAGGCGGCGCCGCCGCCGCCGCCGACGCCCGAGGGGATGACGGTGAAGCTGCGCGTGGCGCGGCAGCAGCTGCTCATCATCCTGCACGGCGGAGAGCAGGGCAAGCTGCGCCGTTCGCTGCCGCAGCAGGCCAACCTCGCCGTCTCCGTGCAGCCCGGCCGATGGCACCTCCTCCTCGTCTCCTTCCGGCGGAGGCCGATGCTGCGCGGCGGCGGTGCGGAGGCGTTCGCAGTGCTGGATGGGCGGCGGACGCCGCCCGTCGCGTGCGCCTTCCCCGCCCTCCCGCCCGCCGCCGCCGCCGCCGCCGCCGCCGCCGCCGCGCCGTTTCGCTTGCGCGTCGGCTCTCCGGAGCCGCTCGGCGCTCCCGAGGACGGCGCGTCCTCCCTTCCGTCCGGCGTGGCGGCGGGCTTCACTGGGCAGGTTGGCCCCGTCTTCTGCCTGCAGGGGTCGCCCACCGACGCCGAGGCCGCCGCGATGTGGCGCGCGGGTCCGAGCTGCGCCCTGCCCGCCGCCGCGCTCGCCGCCGCCGCCGCTGGCTCCCGCGTGCTGAGCACCTCGCTGGCGTCGACGCGGCCTTGCCGCCTCGCCGCCTTCTACCCCCCCGCCGCGGCGAGCCAGGGCGCGTGCGGCGACGTCGGGCCGGCGAGGTGTCGGCCGTTGGCTCTGGGCGGCGGCGTCACGTTGCTGCGCCCGCGCCTGATCGGGACCGCCCTCGGAGGGCCGCTCCCCATCCTTCCGCTCCTGCACTTGCTGCGCGCCGGTGGGGGAGCACCCTCCCCCGTCCCGTGCACTCGCTCGCTGTCCGCGTCCGCCGCCGCCGCGCAGAAGCACTTGCAGAGGAGCCGGAGCCGAGACAAGGGCGCGGAGGCGTGGTCGGCAGCAGGCGCCGACGCGATCGCGGCGCGCGTGATCGCCGCGCTCACGGCGGCCCTGTCTGGCGGAGAGCTGATGGCGGTGGAGCTGGAGCAGAGCGGCGGCGTGCCTATGCTCGCGCACCTGCTGCGCGAGGCGTCGCCGCGCATCTTGACGGAGGAGACGCTCGACGCGCTCGCGGCACTCGAGCGGGCGCTGGCGCCGCACGAGGCGCTGTCCGACGCGCTGCTCCTGCACCTCCTTCTCGACATGAGGCTGTGGCGTCGCGCGGCCCCGCGCGTGCTGCCCCTTGTGATGCGGCTGCTGCGCACCTCCGCAGGGGCGGCGCCCCGCCAGTGGGTACGCACCGGCGCGGTGGGCGTGCTGGTCGAGAACCTCCTCGAGGCGAGGGCCGCCCCCTCGCTGTGCCAGCTGGCCGACCCCGCACCGCCCGAAGACGACGAGTCGGCCTGGCAGCGCCGCGCCTGGGCCCTCGCGATGGACGTGCTTGTTGCGGCGGCGGAGACGGCCGTTGGCCTGCCGCGCGCGGCGTTGGGGTACGTGGTGCATGCCGTGGTGTCGAGCGGGGACGCCGTGCCCCGCGCGGCGCTGCTGCGCATGCTGCTCGCCCTCTCCTTCTCGCCCGACCTCCGCACGATCAGCGCTTTGCTCGCGGGACCGGTGCCCGACTTGCCCCGCCGCGCCGCCCTCGACTTGGGCCTCGTCAGCGGGGGAGGAGGAGGAGGAGGAGGAGGCGACGAAGGCGGCGGCGGCGGCGGTCCAAGCTGGAGCCTGCTGAGCTGCCTGCTGCCGCTGCTGCCGAGCGCGCCGGCGGAGCAGGAGCCGGAGGTGACGCAGCTCCTGGTGCGACTCATCTCGCGCGTGCTCGCGCTCGCGCGCTCCGCCCCGGACCCCGAGGCGCGGGCGGCGGCCGCGGCGTGGGCCGCAGAGACGTGGGAGGCGGGGGGCTGGGCGTGGCTCAGTGAGCGCGTGGCGACAGCGTGCCCCGACGAGGCGCTGCTTGACGCCCTCACGCAGCTCGTCCTCGGCTCGAGCGCGCCGGGTTGGGCAGACGGACGCGTCGCGCCGGCCGCGGCTGCCGAGGCGGGCGCGGGCGCGCCACCGCTCGTGGCGCGCGTCGACGATCACATCAGCCTCGCTGACGACGCGGCGGGCCGCTTCGCGCACCCCGAGGCGCTCCCGCCGCTGCTCGGGCTGGGCGTCGGCTCGTCGGCTGTGCTGCAGGCGACCCTGCTGCAGTCGCTCTTTCCTAGACCTTTCCTGGACCTTTCCTGGACCCTTCCTGCAGGCGACCCTGCTGCAGTCGCTCTCGCTCTGGCTCCGCCGGTCGGAGGACGGCGACAACCAGCGCGCGCTCGCGGCGCAGCTGGGGTGGGAGCAGCCCGTCTGCGCCATCCTCAACCAGACGCGCGCCGCCACGTCGCCGGACGGCCGCGCGTGCCACGCTCTCTGCTCGCAGCTGCTGGTCGACTTTGTGCTCTGCTCGCTGCGCCGGCCGGGAGGCTGGCCCGACACGATGCGCACCCTCACCACGCTCGAGCTCTACACCGCCGAGCCGAGCGCCTCCAAGCGGCAGCTCCTCGCCACCGTCCTCGAGACCCTCCGCCCCGCGCTGCCCGCCAGCCTCGCCGCGCTGGTCGCGGCCCCGCTCGAGGGGGGCGCGCGCGAGGGGCCGCGGGCCGACCCGCTCTGGAGCAACCTTGTGCGGCTAGCCTCCCTCGTGCACGCCACCGTCCTCGAGGCGGGCGCCGCCGCGCAGGCGGGAGGCCGCGCGCGCGCCGGCTCCGGCGCGGCGGGCGGCGGGCACGGCCGGCTGGGCGCTGCGGCCGCCACCGGGTCGGCGCTGCTGCACCGGCTCGGCGGGGCGATGGCCCACGGGTTGAGTGCGGTCAAACCGTCCCCCTCGCAGCCGGCCGTCAAGCGCGACGCGTCCGCAGAGTCGCCGTCGGGTCCTTGGCGCCGCCTCCAGACCAACGCGGAGCTGTCGGCGGCGGTGAGCGGCGCGCCGAAGGCTCGCCTCTCCCCGCCGCCGCGTGCCGCCGCCGACGTCGAGGCGAGCTCCGAGGCGGAGTCCTAGACCTTTCCTAGACCGTTCCTGGACCTTTCGTGGACCCTTCCTGTAGGCGAGCTCCGAGGCGGGGTCCGAGGTTAGCTGCAGCGAGGTTAGCTTCAGCGAGGCCGCCGGCGGGGTGAGAGGCGCCGCCGGCACCGGTGCTGCGTCGCCGTCGCCGTCCGCCGCAGTGTCGCCGCCGGCCACTGCTGCGGCGGCGCTCGACTCCACTCTCTCCCGCGACAGCGACGGGCGGTGGGCCGACGCGGGCCTGGCTCTGGCGCTGCTGCGCTGGCTCGACGCGCTGGTCGTGCACGCGATGGTCGAGCCGGCGGCCACTGTGTTGGTTCACTCGACCGCCGCCGAGCTGGCGCCACACGCCGGGGCGGACAGCGGCGGGAGTGGCGGCGGCGAGGGGGGCGGCGCCACGTTTTGCGAGGTTGCGCTGGCGATGCAGCTGCTGCTGCTCCAGGAGGGGGGCGGCGCCCAGCCGGCGGACGGGGGTGCCGCAGATGGGGGAGCGGGGCCGCTCGAGCCCGCACGCCAGCTCGACGAGCTGCTAACTCGCGCGGCTGTCTGGTGCGAGAGGCCCTTTCTCGAGCCGTCTCCTCAGCAGCAGCCGTCGCGGGGCACGCCCACTCTCTCCTCACGCGGCGGCTCTCTCCTCTCCGGCCGCGACCCCTCGACGCGCGTCGGTAGCTTCGAGTCGACCGGGAGCGGGCAGGACTCCGCGGCGGAGGCGGCGGGGACGTGGCAGCTGCGGCAGCTCGGCCGCGCGATCGGCCGGCTCCTCCACGCCCTCTGGCCTCCCGCCGGCATGCCGCCGCCGCCCGCGGCGGTGACGTCTGCCGCGGGGCCCGCGCTGCAGGCGCTGCTGGGCGCGGCGTGTCGGCTGATGGGTATCGGCCGGCCGCCGCCGACGCTGCGCGCCGGCGTGGCAGCCGAGACCTTTCTCGAGGCCAAGGAGTCGTGGCTGTGGCTGCTCGCCCAGGAGCCGCTCGCCGAGGCGCTCGAGGGGCTGTCGCTCGGCCGCTCGGCCGCACTCGAGGCGGCACTCGCGCGCCAGTCGCGGCAGGACGCCCTCGTCACGGCCACCGAGGCGCGGCAGCGCGACGTGCGCCGGCAGGTGGAGAGGCTAGACCTTTCCTGGACCTTTCCTATTTCCTGGACCTCTCCCAGACCTTTCCCAGACTTTCCTAGACCTTTCCTAGACCTCTCCCAGACCTTTCCTAGACCTTTCCTAGCGCCGGCAGGTGGAGAGTCTCGCCGGCGAGGCGTCGGCGTCGAGCCGCGCACTCTCTTCCGAGATGAGTACCCGCGCCGCGATCTCGCGCGCGTCGCGCGCCCGCCGGCGCAAGGCGGCCGCCGCGGCGTGGGCGCGCACATGGGGCGAGCTCCGGCTCTCGAGCTCTGTCTGGAGCGCGGACGGCGACGGCGAGGCGCCCCCAGCGCACCTCCTCCGCGTGTGCGACCAGACCGACAGCCGCTCGCGGCGCATGCTCCTGCTGCCCGGCGAGCCCGCTCCGGACACACCGCCAGACTCGCCGCGCCGCGCGGACGCGGGGGACGGGGGCGGCGCCGGCGGCGCGACGAGCGGGGCTAGCCGATGGAGCGCGCTGCAGGCGTCCGCGACGTCGGCTGAGGTTGCGGCGACCGCGGCCGGCGGCGGCGGCGGCGCGGCGGCCGACGGCGGCGGCGCAGCGGCGACCCCGTACCTGCGCATCCTCGGCGCCGTGCGCGCGTTCAAGTCGATGGGCTCGAGCGTCGTGAGCAGCGTGAGCGGAGAGAGTCCGGCGGTGGCGGCGGCCGAGGAGGAGGAGGAGGAGGGCGAGGAGGAGGGCGAGGCGGCGGCCGAGGCGGAGGCGGTGGCGCTCGAGGGCGATTCGCAAGTCTTCTCGCTCGAGGCGGCCCTCCGGCCCCGGCCGCGCGCACACCCACGGTTGCGCTCAGAGCCTGAACTGGGCTGGCGCAACCCTCTAGGCGGACCTCGTGCGGCCACACGGGCTGCTTCCCGGCCGCCTCTACCTCTCCGACTCGAAGCTGCGCTTCATCAGCTCGGGCGAGGCGCCGAGCCGCGTCGCCGGCGCGGCCGGCAGCCCGGCGCGTGCAGCGCGCTGAGAAGGGAGTCCCTTCACAGCCGCCTCACCGTGAACAGGCGCCCCGGCGTGCAGCGAGCAGGTGGCGCGCGATGCAGCCCTGTCGTGGCCGCTCTCGTCGGTGGCGCAGATGCAGCGGCGGCGCTACCTTATGGTGCACACGGCGCTGGAGCTCCTCGACGACGACGGCGACTCGATCCTGCTCAACTTCCGGACGAAGCGCTCGCGCACGCAGGTGCGCTCGTGGATCAAGCGCAAGTGCTCGCTCACGTACCGCGACCGCGACCGGTCGGCGCGGACCGCGTTTGGCAAGATGCTCTCCGAGCTGCAGGAGGCGTGGCAGCGGCGCGAGCTCTCCAACTTCGACTACCTCATGAAGCTCAACGAGATGGCGGGCCGCTCGTACAACGACCTCAACCAGTACCCGGTCCTGCCGTGGGTGCTCTCCGACTTTCCTAGACCTTTCCTAGACCTTTCCTGGACCTTTCCTAGGTCCTGCCGTGGGTGCTCTCCGACTACGCCTCGCCCACGCTCAACCTGGCCGACCCGGCCGTCTTCCGCGACCTCTCCAAGCCGATGGGGGCGCAGGACCCGGCGCAGGCCGATCTGGTCCGCCAGACCTACGAGCTGTTTGACGACCCGGACATCCCCCGCTTCCACTACGGCTCGCACTACTCGACGACGGGCACCTTCTAGGAACCTTCTAGGAACCTTCTAGGAACCTTCTAGGCTCTCACTACTCGACGATGGGGTTCGTGCTCTACTACCTGCTCCGCCTCGAGCCCTTCACCTCGCACCACAAGGCGCTGCAGTCGGGCCGCTTTGACCACGCGGACCGGCTCTTCCACTCGCTCGGCCAGACGTGCCGCTCCTGCACGCACGCGTCCACCGACCTTTCCCAGACCTTTCCTAGACCTTTCCTGGACCTTTCCTAGGTACCACTCCTGCACGCACTCGTCCTCCGACGTCAAGGAGCTCGTCCCCGAGCTCTTCTGCCTCCCCGACGTGCTGCTCAACCGCAACGGCCTCTCGCTCGGCACGCGGCAGGACGGACAAGCCGTCGACGACGTGCGGCTGCCGCCGTGGGCTTCGGACGCCGTCGACTTCGTCGCAAAGCACCGCGCGGCCCTCGAGTGCGACCACGTGTCCGAGCGGCTGCACCAGTGGGTCGACCTCATCTTTGGCGCCAAGCAGCGCGGCCCGGCGGCGGCCGGCGCGCTCAACGTCTTCTTCTACCTGACCTACGAGGGGACGGTCGACCTGTCGGGCCTTTCGTCCGCCGAGGGGCGGCGCGCGCTGCAGGCGCAGATCAAAAACTTTGGGCAGACGCCGCCGCAGCTCTTCACATCGCCGCACCCGAGACGGCGGCCCGCCCCGCCGCCGCCGCCGCTCGGCGCGTGGCCGATCTGCGACCCGACCCCCGTGCGTCCCGTCGGGGCGCTGCGCGTGCCTTCGGTGCCGGCGGCGCTGCACAGCGGCGGCGACGACTCCTTCCTTCTGCTCGACATGGAGCGGCAGCTCACGCTCTACCGCGGACCGGTCGGCGAGGGCGCGCGTGCGAGCGCCATCGGCGACGTCGCCGCCCTGCCCGCGTTTGCGCCGGGCGTGACCATCGCTCGCGCCGTCTGCCTCGCCGCCACTGACGGCCAACCGTCCAAGGCGTGGCTCGCCTCGGGGGGGCACTGGGACGGCTCGCTCTGCCTGAGCACCGCGCACGGGGGCGGAGGGCTGCGCCTCCGACTCGCCGTCCACTCGGAGACCGTCACGTGCGTCGCGCTCAGCCGCTGCGCCCGCTACCTCCTCTCGGGTTCGCTCGACGCCACGGCGCTGCTGTGGGACTTTGGCAGGGCCGGGCTCGCGGGGCTCGCCGCGCCCGGCGCCGAGGCCTCGCCCCGACCGTCGCACGTGCTGCGAGGCCACGGCGGCGACGTGCTCTGCGTCGCCGTCTCGTCCGTCCTCCGGGTCTGCGCCGTCGCGTCGCGCGACGGGCACGCGTGCCTCTACCTGCTACGCGACGGGCGGCGCGTGCGGACCTTCACCTCGCCCGACGCGACGCCGATCGACGCGGTGCTCCTCTCGGACGCCGGGTACGTGCTGCTCAGCAGCTCGGCGGCCACCGCGCTGCACCTCTTCGCCCTCAACGGGCAGCGCGTCTGGTCGGCCCGGCTCGACGGCGGCGTCTCGTGCCTCTCCCTCTCGCCGTGCCACAACGCCTTGCTGCTCGGGCTCGACACGGGCGACGTGCTGGCGTGGGCGCTCTTTGACCGCACGCCGCTCATCACCTACGAAGCCTGCCCCGGGCCCGTCGTCTGCCTCGCCGTCTCCGAGGCCCACCTGCTAGTGGCGACGAGCACCCGCCACGTGCTCAAGTACCCGCCGCCGCCGCAGGCGGGACTGCTCACCCCGGGGCTGGTCGTCGCGAGGCCGCCGCGGTGAGGGGTGAGCGGCGGCTGCTGCTAAGTACGTTATGTGATCTCGAGCTGTACTGTGCGACACCTGCTGTGGGCGGGGTTGGCCATTTACGTACGTGTTTATAGCCCCCCGCTACCCAGTCGCAGTCGTGCACGTAGCGGGGGGCCACGACTACGTTTACGAAAACATAAGTAGTCCTGGTCACTGGTCACTGGCGGGCGGCGTGCCTTACAAAAAAAGTCTGCTGTCGATGTGAGTGCTTTTTCACCTACTGACGGCGACCGGTCCGCGCTGGCCGTCGATCTCCGCTAGTCGAGGTACGCTCTAGTCTGTCGACCTCGAATTTTCTTTGGAGTTTCACTTCGCATCTTGAAAGCTCTCTCTTCCCCTTCTTCACTTTCTTAATAGGTTTCCTCTCTCTGTACGTCTGACCACTACGCGTGGTCACCATTTTCTCATTATTATAAAAAACATAGCGCTACATTCTACACTACAGCCGCTGCTGCGAGGAGGGATTCCACATTATTTCTCGGTGAGTGCCCGCCGTGCCTCTTCGTGTGCCCGCTGTCGCCATGGACTTGCTCAATGACGACTTGCTTCGAGAGGTCGTGGAGGCGCTGGTCAAGTGCAACCTCCATTCTGCGGTCGCCCTCAAGAGATGCAGCCAGCGGTTCAAGGACCTCGCCACACCGCTGGTGGCAAACGCCATGAAAAGGACAAACGAGAAGTGGCGGGACGCGGCAGCCAAAGTCGGCGGCCAAGCTGCGATAACATTCGGGCTCGAGCGCAACGAAGTGCTCACCGACCTCGACCTCGCCTCCAACGAGATCCGCGACGAGGGCGCCGCTGCGATCGCCGAGGCGTTGCGCGGCAACGCGGTGCTGAAAATCCTCAACCTCGGCGACAACTCTATCCGCGCCGAGGGCGCCGCCGCGATCGCCGAGGCGCTGCGCGGCAACGAGGTGCTGACCGATCTGAACCTCTCGGGCAATGGCATCGGCGACGAGGGCGCTAAGGCGATCGGCGAGGCGCTGGCGGTCAACGGGGTGCTGACCGACCTCAACATTGGCGGCAACAAGATCAGCGACGAGGGCGCCACTGCGATCGCCGAGGCGCTGCGCGGCAACGGGGTGCTGAAAACGCTCGACCTCGAATGCAACGCGATCGGCGCCGAGGGTGCTGAGGCGCTGGCCTCCGCTCTGCGCGTCAATGCGGTGCTGAAAACGCTAAATCTCTCCCTCAACTACATCGGCGTCGAGGGCGCAAAGGCGATCGGCGCGGCTCTGCGTGGCAACGGGGTGCTGACCTCCTTGAACCTGGGCTACAACAGCCTCACCGAGGAGGCGGCCCTCGGCATCGTGCGTGTCGAGCGGCAGCGCAACAAGCTGACCTCGCTGGGCCTTGCTCGCTGCAATATCGGCCCGACTGGCGCCGCAGAGATCGCCGAGTACGTGTCGGGCAGTGGGGTGCTGACCAACCTCGACCTCTGCGACACCGGCATCAACGACGAGGGCGTCAAGGCGCTAGCAGCCGCACTTCGCGTCAATGCGGTGCTGACCTCGCTCAACCTCTCGGACAACGCGCTCTGCGGGGTCAAGTACGGGCGGGGCAGCTACGACGCGTCCGGCATCCAAGCACTTGCAGAGGCCTTGAAGGTCAATGGGGTGCTCACCCACCTCTACCTCGCCGGCAACCAGATCCGCGACCAGGGGGCCGCTGCGATCGCGGAGGCGCTGCGCGGCAACGAGGTGCTAAAGTCGCTCAACCTCAGCGACAACAGGAGTGGCCCCGAGGGTGCCAAGGCGCTCGGCGGCGCCCTCGCGGTTAACGCGGTATTGTATTGACCGAGTTGGACCTCGGCGGGAACGAGATCGGCGACGAGGGTGCCACCGCGCTGGCCTCCGCTTTGGAGGTCAACGGGGTGCTGAAAAGCATCGACCTCCGCTTCAACTTGAAGTTCAGAAGGGTTCAACGATTTGGGCGACGAAGGGAAGGGAGCGATTCGAGATGCGGTGAGCGGGCGGGTAGGGTTCGAGCTCGAGATGTGAGTGGGCTCGAGAAGGAAGGTGCATGAAATCGGACGGTCTACTAGTAGCTTTTGCTGGTATATTCCGTTTTTCTTTTTTATTTTTCAGCAAGGTGATGACCGCCCTCAAACTCGGCGCCAACAACATGATCGGCGGCGAGGGCGCAGCCGCGATGGCCGAGGCGCTGCGCGTCAACGGGGTGCTGATCACCCTCAAGCTAGTCGACAACAACATCTCGGACGAGGGCGCCGTTGCGCTGGCCTCCGCTCTTCGCGTCAACGGGGTGCTGAAAACTCTGTACCTCACCTGCAACGAGATCGGCCCCGAGGGCGCCAAGGCATTGGCCTCCGCTCTGCGCGTCAACGGGGTGTTGCCCTTGAGGGCGTCGGCGATCGCGGCGGCGCCGGTGGGGCCGATCTCGTTCCAGGAGATGTTTAGCTTGTTCAACACCCCACTGCCCGACACGTACTCGGCGATCTCTGCGTGACCGCAGAACCCGACGAATCGTACACCTTGTGCCCTCCCGCAACCCTGGCGGCGCCCGTCTCGGACGGCGGCACGCGCTGCTCGCCACCCGAGAGCGCCGCCTTGATTAGCTCGTCAATCGCGTCGCCCTGGGCCTCGCGGCGGGGCTCTCTCCGGGGCGCGGCGCTCGCCGGCCTTCGCTTGACCGCAGAGCGGCTGCGGGCCGGCCGCCGCTCCGGCGGCGCGACGGCGGGGGCGGCGGTGGGCCACAGCCGCGGCGGTGGTTCCGGTGCTGGCGCCGGCGGCTCGGCGGGGGCTGGCACCGAGTAGCTGCGCGTCGAGAGCAGCTCCGTCTGGACGCGTTGCGGCTCCGGCGCGCGCACCCTCTCGGTGCGCGGCGTGGTCTGGTACGTCTCGCGCGGCACGGTGTACGAGCGGAAGCCTGGCTGCGGCGTTGTGTTGCTAAAGGACTGCGAGCTCGACGGGATGGAGACGGTCCTCGAGTGGTCGACGTGCACGATGTCGGGGGTCAGGTACCGTGGCACCTCCACCTCCTTGACCACCTCGCGGTCCGTCCATTTGACCACCTCGACGGGCACCTCCTGGATCTTGACCACCTCGACCGGCACCTCGCGCACCACGTCACGCGGCACCTCCTTGATCACCTGGTCGACGGGCACCTCCTTGATCACCTCCTGGATGATGACCTTGTCGACGGGCACCTGCTTCTCCACCACCACCTCGCGGATCACCTCGATCGGCACCTCCTTGATCACCTCCTTGACGATCTCGATCGGCTTCTCGACGATGACCTCGACAATTCGGTCGACAAACACCTCCTTCGGCACCTCGACGGGCACCTCCTTGACGACCTCGGTGACGACCTCCTGCACGACTGGCACCTCCTTCTCCCGGATCACCTCCACCACCACCTCGCGGATCGTCTCGTACGGCACCTCCACCAGCTTCTCCACCTCCCTGACCACCTCCACCTCCTTGATCACCTCGTACGGCACGCCGCGGAACACCTCCTTGACAATCTCGACGGGCTTCTCGACGATGACCTCGACAACCTTCTCGACGATGCGCTCCACCTCCTTTTCGATCACCACCTCTTTCACCACCTCCACCTCTTTGATCACCTCCTTCTCAACCACCTGCGTCACCGGCTTCTCAACGACGCGCACCTGCTCCAGCACCACCTCCTTGACAATCGGCACCTCGACCACCTTGACCACTTCGACCACCTTGGGCACCTCTTTGATGACGTCCACAAACACCTCCTTTATGACATCGCGGTACACAATCTTCTCCACCTCCTTGATCACCTCGATGGGCACCTCTCTGATCACCTCCACCGGCACCGAAACCATCTTTGGTACCTCGCGCACCACCTCCTTGATCACCTCCTCCTTGACCTGCACCGTCTGGATCTGCCCGAGCGGCGCGTCATGCTCCTCAGGCCGGCCCTTGAGCACCATCTGCGGCGGTGGGAGGGATGGCCCCTCATAGTCTCGCCCTCACGGCCAAGGGAGCGTGTGCTGTCGAGCTGAGGACAGCACGGTGAAGGCAGAGGGTGGGATGGCGGCGGCGCGCCGTCGTCCCGCCGTGCTGCGATCCTGCAGGGCCCCCACCCGACACCCACGCCCCGGCAGCGGCCGGTACCGCAGCCGTTCCCGCGGGGGTGGCGCCAAATGAGGCGTCGCCAAAGGCAGCGGAGGTTTGGCCGGCTGCTTTGACTGGCGAAGCGGGTCCCGACGAGTCTGACGGCGCAGCCGCCGCCTTGGACATCTCTGCATCCTCTCGCCTAGACCGCTCGCGCTGCAGCAGCGAGTTTTGCACCGCCTGCTCCTCCTCCGTTAGCTCCTGCGGGCAGAGCACGCGTCGTGCTCGGGGACAGGCTGCCGGCAGGCTCCTTGCCGGGGTGGAGCTGCGCTGCACTGCGACGGGGGCTGGTGCGGGTGGCGAGCGGGGCGAAGCTCACCATAGTCTGTAACGGCTGAGAGTATACAGTTGTTCCTCATTTGGGGACGCGCGTAGAAAAAAGTAAATTCTCACCGCTCCGTCACAGGTAACAAGCTCTGCTCTTGACGTATGCTAGGTCTCCAGGAGGGTTCAGGAATGACTCATTCGAACACGTAAGTTTCGACCCCCCTGCACCAATGCTGTGTCCGCGGTATTTGCGGCAAAGAGCAAAACCATCCATGTTCTCGCCATCGCCTCCACCGCCGACGCCACCGCGGTCTCCTCCACTGCCGCCTTTTCCGGAACCGGATCCGCCGCCTATCCCGCCCTTCATGCCCGACGTGGCTCCACTGCCGCCACAACCTTTGCCACCGCTGCTGCCGCTGCGCGCTGGCCGCTGTGCACTCCATCTCCACAACACCGGGAAATCATCCAGATGAAGTGAGCTGGGACCTCCGCTGCGGCTCGACTCCGGGGGAGCCATATGGTAGCGTCCTAAGGTAAGATATGTATTATTCCTAAGGTAAACTTCTCCACACACAAGGTGGTGGGGCGCGATATTTTGTTTATTTGAGAGAGACCTCTTCCAGTTTGCGGTGCAGTGCTCCTCTTGCGTCCCGTATATTTTCCCTTTGCAGGCTGGGGACGCTCGTGACAATACATTGAAAAACGCAACTCTGTCACCGACACTGTGGTCCGCCACAGGTCCGTCACAGGTCCGTCACAGGTCCGTCACAGGTACCAAGCCCTGCTCTTGACGTATGCTAGGCTCTCCATACTCCGACGGTGGATCCATGCTGGAGGCTCGACGGAGCGATCGAGTCGTCATCGATCGCAGGAGATCCGGGCGGAGGTCGCGATTGTCCTCCACCGGTTTTTCGGCAAGCCTGCTCCTCTCGGCGCGGTCGTCGGCCCCGGCCCGGCGGCAGACATACGCACTGAAGGCGAGTAGGAGCATACTGGAAGGCATAAACACAGCGACTGGCACGAGCCAGCTGGGCTGCCGGGAGTACGGCGACCCACCGAACTTCCACGGTTTCCGCCCTAGCAACAGGAACAAGCTAGGGCGGCCCTCGGCGTTGCGAAATTTGTTCCACTTGTTGAGCAGGAAACCAAGGTCCGTGACGATGCTGCTGTTGTCCATCACGATCCGGAGGACCTCATCACGCTGTGCTGTCGGCACGATGGTCACCTTCAACTTGGTGTCGCTGGACCAACCAAGGTCCTCGACGGCAATCTGGTCTGCAGTGATGTTTGCTTCAGGCGCGGCATCGGCGAAGGAATCGAGCAGGGCGGCCTTGAGGTCGACGAGGGTGGAACCTTGACCCTCGAGCGCGGTGGCCAGCAGCTGACGTGCCGGTTCCGGTGAGGGCGGAAGCGAGGGCGGAGGCGGCGAGGACGGAGGCGGCGACGGCGGTGGAGGCGAGGGCGGAGGCGGCGAGGGAGGCGGCGGAACGGCGAAGCCGATGGCGAGCACAAGAGCAGTGATCATTCCCGCTCAGCACTCACCGTGCGCCGCACACCCTTGATGTGATGATGTGCCTTGCGGCTTGATGTGAGACACCCTTGATGTGAGTGATGTGCAATGTAGGAGTGCGAGCCGCTGCCGGCGAGCCGCCTTCCCGCATTGGCACTTATTTCTTTTTTTCTGATGAGGAGTTCGTGTCCAGTCCGAGCCTGGCTGTTCTTCACCTTTCTACCTACCTACCTGGGGTTGGAGTGGTTTGACTGCTCCTGTGGTGGGGGCGACGGCTTCTGAGGAAGCCGTCGCCCGCGCCTTGCCTGTCGCGTGAATCGTGCTGTGCGACCGCCTTTTTCCCTAAAATTCCTTTTCCCGATGTCCGTTTGGGGCGCACGGTCCACGGACCGAGCGGCTTTCTTTGGGGAATTCGGTTTCCTCTTCGCCTTCGCGTTTGTCTGTCGTCGTTCCGCGAATCCCTCGGCCTCTCTGCCCCATTCTTTTGTTGTAAAATTCTTTTGTTTGTGTTAGTGCCAGTGCGCGCCAGTCCCGTGCCTAGCTAGTGTCGTGAGAGAGAGACTCAAGGGCTGTACTATCGGCAAGCGCAACCTCCTAGCGCGCTTCAAGAGAAGCAAGGCCTCAGCTTGTCCCACTCCGCGTCGACGATCCAGGCCATCATGTCGGCGAGCAGATTTGTCTGCAGCGGCGTGAACTCCATCAGGCCCTTGTTCTGCCCAAGCGTCGCAAAGGTGGGAAAGTTACCCGGCGTGTTGACGCTGTCCACCTCGCCGTTGAGCACGGCCTCGAGGGTCGCCGGCGGCACCTTCTCCAGCCACTGGCGAGGCGCTTGGTTCCAAATGACGGTGTAGTTGCACGTGTACGGCACGACCCCGTGGAAGGTGTTGGCGTGCACCTGGCCGGCGAGGTGGTGCGTGGGTGAGTAGAAGCGACAGCGGTGGACGGGAGAGGGAGGAGGAGAGTGTTGCATGGGGTCGGAGCGCAAACGGGAGATATTGGGGAGTGAGGTAGGGATGTCGGCGAGCGCACCTCCACGTTCTCGAGCCGCGCGACGAGCGGGGCGCCGGACGCCAGCGCCGCCTCGAACTTCTCGCACAGCTCGTGGTAGCGCTCAATCGCAAAGACCCGGTTGGTCTGGTAGTTGAATCCGGGGTACGTGTAGTTCCACGAGCCGTCGGCGGCGATGAGAGGGACGCCGAACAAGCTCGACAGGTCCGGCGAGAGCGCCGCCGCGTCGTACTCGTTCTGCGTCATCTTGCTCGGTGGCGGCCGCTTCTGCTTCGTGTTGTCTTCGTGCTCCTATCGGACGAGTTGGCGTGTGAGGGTCGAGCCCTCCAGCGACGAGGGCGCCGGCGCGGCGAGGTGGGTTGGCGAGGCGAAGTGGCGGTGTGAGGAGCGCGGTTGGCTCTCCTCGTTGCTGCACTTGGAGCAGAAGGGGGTGCCGGAGCTCATCAGGACGAGAACCTCCTTGCACTGGCGCCGCAGCAGTGTGAGCGAGGCCGTGTTGTCGAGGTTTCCGCCGTCACCGAGCTTGAGCGTGTTCCACACGCCCACGTTGGTCTCAAAGCGCGCGGTGGGCAAAAGGGCCTCGAGGACAGCGTTCTCGATCCTCCCCTTGGGCGAGATTCGCTTCGAGCTGAGGTAGGCGGCCTCCATCATGCTGCCCGCGCCGATGTAAAACTCCAGCGAGTTAGCCTTGCCAAAACCCTGGCTCCATTCGGACGGAGGCACACCTGGCACGTGGCCAATGTCGAGAGTCTCGCTCATGCAAGCCAAGCCGCTGACCTCGGCCGGGGGGCCTGAGTAGCCGGTCGACACCTCGCTCGGCGACACCACGTACTGCACGGGAGCGCAATTATCGTGCTTCGCGCGCGCCTCCTCGGGTGACGGGCCGTCTATCGTGGCGGCTGCCACGTCGGCGGCGTTGATGTTCCTGACAAAGTCCTTGGCGAGGCTCATCCCAATGCACCCAGGCAGGGTGCACGCGGGAATTGGGCCCAACTGCGCCACCGATGGGCCGTACATTGTGATGCCAATCAGCGGGGTCGAGGCGCAGTACTTGGCCGGAAAGAGGTAGTCGTCCCGGCGGCCGCCTTTGGCGTCCACCTCGGCAGCCGAAGCGGCAAACAGCTTTCCCTGCGGCACGCCAAAGGGCGCGAGGTAGACCCGCCAGACGTTGCGGATCCACGAGATCGCGCCGAAGGGTTGTAGCGCGAGGGAGGATGCGATGCACGACAAGGGAAAGGAGAGCAGGATCGAGCAGTACGTCATGGGCTTGGTGGACACCGGTTGGCCCATGCTGCGGGGCTCAACTGTGCTGCAGGCCTCAACGGTGAGCTCCGACGGTGAAAGCGCAGCGCGGCCCACGTCGAGCAGCACATCGCGAGGCACCGTCTGGTTGAAGGAGTACGTGGCCGTGGCCCAGCCGCCGCCGCTCGCGCCCGACATCCACTGCTTTTCCGGTGGGTTGTCCAGCGCTCCCTTGACCGCGAGACCGCGCAGCACCCCAAAGGAGCACGTGTAGGCACGGTTGCCGCCACCGCTGAGTGCGATGCCCGTTCCTCCCGTGTCTGGTCCACGCTGCGCCGCTGCCGCCGCCGCAGCGGCCTCCGCACGGCGAGTGGCCAGGAAATTGTGCGACGGCTTGGGGTGCGTCGGCAGCTTGGCCCCCCTGCCGCCGTCCGTCCTCCTATCCCTCCACCAAGTTATCCCTCCTCCCTTTGCGACGGCTTGGGGTGGCGGCGGCGGGCTTCGGCGCACCTTGCCGTCGGCACCGGTGATCATGCGCATATGTGTCAAGGAGCGATCGACGGGCGATGACGGGCACCGGAACGAAACACAAAAAAGAATTTTAACTTCCGGTCTTCCCCAAAGAAAAGAAACAAAGGGAGGAGGGATAGGAGGACGGACGGTCTTCGAAGGCCCAGCACTGACCGTGGCCCCGGTGGTCATGGAGCGTGAAGACCCAAGAGGAAAAGCTCGCGAAGCTCACGTCCATGCGGGGACGGGCGTGCCTCGCTCAGTACGAACGCCCCCACAGCGTCCAGCAGACGGCGGGCTTGCCCGAGATGAAGCACGGCGTGCCGTCGGGCAGCGGCGGCGCCTCGTACGGGATGCAGAGCGTCTTGACGGCGAGCGAGATGGCGGCGCGGTCGTCCTCCGCCTCCTCGCCCGCCGCCGCGAGCGCCTCCTCCTTGGAGCGCTTCTTGACGAGCTCCTCAAACTCCTATTCCGCAGCCGGGCAAGCCATCATCTCGCCAGCCCCGGGGCCGAGGCGGGGCGCCGACCCCGGCGGCCTTCTCGTTGCAGTAGGGGGTGAGGACGAGGTTGCCGGCGCCAATCTTCGCCATGAAATCCTCCCACGTCAGCGCCTGCGCCACGTAGCTGTCGCGCGTCTGCCGCGCGCGCGCAAGCATCTCGTGCTGCCTACGAGCGCCGCACGCTCGGCGGCGTGAGGCGTCCACATTTGCACACAAGCCGCCCCGGGGGAGGCGTGCGAGCGGCGCGCATTTGCACGAGCAGCAGCGCCGCCTTCTGCGGCAGGATGGACAGCGGCACGTCCTCCTTGTCGTTTGTGTCACGCCGCACTACCCGGATCTGCTGCTTGGCCATGTCCTTCGGGCCGAGCTCGAGCCGCAGCGGGACGCCCTTGAGCTCCTGCGGCGGGAGGAGGGGGGAGGCCGCCTCAGCCGCGCGCGAGCCTATGCAGCGGGGCGGGCGGGCGGGCGGGCGGGCGGGCGGGCGGGCGGGCGGGCGGGCGGGCGGGCGGGCGGGCGGGCGGGCGGGCGGCGGGCGCGGAGGCGTGAGCGGGGGCGTGCTCCTTCTGGCAACGTCCGAGACTCGCAGCCTCCTCACGAGGGTTCATCACGAGGGTTGCGGTGACCGTGGCTGGAGCGGATGCCAATGGACCGCCCCGTCGAATGCAGCCGAAAGCGTGCCGCCGAGGGTGCGGGGAGATAGGGGGAGATGGGGGGAGATGGGGGGAGATAGGGGGAGATATGGGGAAATGGGGGGAAATGTGGGGAAATGTGGGGAAATGTGGGGAAATGTGGGGAAATTTGGGGGGGTTTTGGGGAGATTTTGGGGAGATGTGGGGAAATGGGGGGAAATATGGTCTTTTTGGGCCTGGGGCCCCCCCCCCCCCCCCCCTTACACACCCACACCCACACCCACACACCCAATCCACCCCCCCCCCACCCCAGCCGCTCCGCGCCTGCAGCTTGGCCTCGGACACGAAATTGGGAAATTACAATTGGGGGACCCCGTTTTTTTTAATTTTGGGGTCCAAAAATTTTTTGTTCCCCTGCCGGCGCGAAACGGGAGAAAGGTTTTAGAAAGGGTCCAGGAAGGTTTTAGGAAGGCTCTAGGGAGGGTCTAGGAAGGGTCTAGGAAGGGTCCAGGAAGGGTCTAGGAAGGGTCTAGGAAGGGTCTAGGAAGGGTCTTGATCGCCTGCCGGCGCGGGACAGGAGGCGGAGCAGCTCACGCGCGGGAGGCGTGCTGTCAGCGGTCACGAGCAGCGCGGTGCTAAGCGCCACCCCGCTTCCCCCTCCTGCCTCCCCCTCCTGCCTCCCCCTCCTGCCTCCCCCTGGTTGCCCTCCCCTCTCCGGCACGCTCGCTCTCTCTCTCTCTCCCTCCCTCTCTCTCCTCTCCTATCTCTCTCTCTCTATTATGTCTATCCCTCCCTCCATTTTCTCTCTCCCCCCCCCCCCCCCCCCCCTCTCTCTCCGCGCGCCTCCCAGATCGAGAAGGACCAGGGGCGCAGGATGTAGCAGCCCGAGATGTCGTAGAACTCGATCATCTCGCTCTTGACGATGACCTGCGGCGGGAGATATGGGGAGATGGGGGGAGATATGGGGAGATATGACGATGACCTGCGGCGGGACTTGCCTCCCTTCGCCTGCCTCGTCTCTCACACGCGTACCTCTCGGCTCCTCTCGCTCTCTCTCGACGATCGCCTGCTCGTACCACTTTGGGAGATCTGGGGAGATCTGGGGAGATATGGGGAGATCGCCTGCTCGTACCACTTTGGGAGATATGGGGAGATCTGGGGAGATATGGGGAGATCGCCTGCTCGTACCACTTTGGCAGGTTGCCCGCCTTGGTGTACTCGATGCCCTTCTCGCTGGCGTTCTCCTTCTTCCCCGCACCCTTTGTCGGCCCGCCGCCGCCCGCAGCCTTCGCCTTGCCGCCCTCCTTCGGCTTGCCGCCCTCCTTTGGCTTGGCCGCGCCGCCGCCGCCGCCGCCGCCGCCGTTGCCGTTGCCGGCGGCCGCCGCCGCGAAGTCGGCGAGGAGGGGCTCGTGCCCGTGGCTGTTGACGAAGGCGAGGAGCTCGGCGCCTGCCGTGGTGGGTTCGGGTACCGTGGGGTAGGGGAGGGTGGGTTCGGGTACCGTGGGGTAGGGGAGGAGCACCGCGCCGGCCGCGCGCGGCGAGGCTGAGGGAGGGGCGGGAGCGGCGCGGGAGGGGAGGGAGGGGAGGGGCGGGGCGGGAGGGGCGGGAAGGGAGCGGGAGGGCGGCGAGGGGAGCGAGAGGGCGGGGTGGTGGGGAGGGTGGATGCACCAGAGATGGAGCAGGTGCGCGTGTTTGTGCACGGGTGCAGCGCGACGGTGGCGCCGTCGGCGACGAGCGTCCTGTCGAGGACGAGCCTGACGGCTCCTGTTCACAGCTGCAAGGTGTGAAGAGACAGCATGGCGTCTTGTCGAGGACGAGCCTGACGGCTCCTGCGGCGAGGCGAGGGGGCGGCCGTCGGAGGGAGAGGCAGGGAGGAGGCAGGGTCGAGGCAGGGTCGAGGCAGGAGAGGGCAGGAGAGGGCAGGAGAGGGTAGGGAGAGGGCGGCAGAGGTATGCAGGCAGAGGTAGGGGGAGGGAGAGGGGAGGGAG